CATTAACATAACTGCCTCTAATCCTGCCTCATTAACATCATAGAGGTTAGGATTTACAACACGTAGGAAAATCACATCAGATCACAAAATGGAGGACAACCACACAGTACTGGGAATCATGGCCTAGCCAAGTTGAAAAATACTTTAGAAGGACACAATTCAATCCATGACAGTCACCTACTAGCTGTGTAACTTTAGGCACATGATTTGACCTCTCTGAGCCAGAGTTTTCATCATATATATACAAAGTAATAATGAACCCATCCTGCATGGTGGGCCATCATAAGGAGAAGATGAAGGTGCCCAAAGAGTGCTTAGCTCCCTGCCTGGCCCCTGGGAACACCTGATTAATGGAGGACGCTGCTGTTACTAAGCTCTGCTTTCGCCTTCCCTGTGACCCCTGCAGTTTGTTTGAGAGTTTTTGTGACTGATGTATCCACAGCTGACTCCCCCACTGACCCGTGCACACGGAAAGAGGACTGATGTCTTGGTGCCTGGTACAGTGCCTGGCATGGGGTAGATGCTGAGTAAGCATTGAGCTCCTGGTATGTGCCAGGCCCTGTGCTGTAGGGAATGCGGAGAGCCTGGTGGGTTATGTGGGGTTTAAACTGGGGCGGCGGGGGAGGGGGTTTGTATGTGGGACTCTCCTTGAACCTATAAACCCTATGGCTTTTGCCCCAAGGCCTTGATTAGGTAGACTTTTCCTAGTAGATACTGGAGACTCCAGCTGACAATATGACAGGGCTTTTCCCCAACTTTTTGTTTTATGAATTTTCAAACCTACAGAAAAGTTGCAAGAAGAATACCGTGAATATGCATATACTCTTCATTGGATTCATTACTTTTTTAATAATTTATTTTGTTGTTGTTACGGTTGAGAATATACACAGAAGAACATACACCTTTTCAACCATTTCTATGTGTACAATTCAGTAACACTGATTACATTCTTTGAGTTGTGCAACCATTCTCAACCTCCTTTTCTGAGTTGTTCCTCCTTCACTAACATAAACTCACAGCCCCTAAAGTTCCCATCTAATCTTTCGAGTTGCTGTTGTCAGTTTGATCCCATATAGATAGTTCTTAAAAGAGCACAGTGCTGGAGGCAGACATTCTTTACTAGTTAAGCTAAACTATTCTTTGGTTTTAAGAAGACTTCAGGGGATATTTTTGGTTTAAAGTTTAAAGATTATCTCAAGGCAATAGTTTCAGGGGTTCATCCACCCTCCATGGCTCCAGGAAGTCTGGAGTCCATGAGAATTTAAAATTCTGCTGTATGTATTCCCCCTTTTGATCAGGATTCTTCTATAGAATCGTTGATCAAAATGTTCAATAGTGGTAGGATGGCTTGGATTCACTACTTTTGCTTCAACTCATATGTATATGTGTGTGTATATGTGTATACATACATTTTTTTTTCAAAACCATTTGAGACTTGTAGACATCATGACATTTTACTTCTAAATGTTTTACCAGGTATCTCCTAAGAACAAGGTCATTCTCCTAAAAGCAACCCTCAATTAGATTTCTGACACTTTTTAATTTGCAAAGGATTTTCCCATTCATTTCCAGTGACAAATAATAAGAGCTACCGCTTCGTGGAGCACTTACTACCTCCCAGGCTCTGTGTTAAAAGCGCCACATGCGTTAGTCACGTAGTCCTCACAACAATCCTAAGATGCCATACTAGTTTTATGGATGGGGGAAACAGAGGCCCAAACAGGTTAAGCAGCTTGCCCAAGGTCACCCAGCTAGGAAGTGGAAGGGCTGAGACTTGAGTTCTGGCTGTTTTGAATCTCTGGGTCCAGGTTGTAAGCACCTTGCTGCATGGTCTCCTTTGAGCCTCACAACAAACCTAGGAGATAAGCAGGGCAGACCTGGAGATACCATTTACAGATGGAGAAATTAAGGCCCAGAGAGGTGTATTCTGATCAAATTTGTGGAATTGGGACCAGCCCCAAGAATTTCTGGCTTCTTGCCTTGTGCCCTTGCCACAACCTCAGACTGCCTGTGAGACCAGGGCCAAAGACACCAGGCATGCTAACAGTGATCTGTCAACAGGTATGAGCAGAAAGAAGGGTGAGGGCAGTGACCATCCCCGCTTTGCTCCCCCAGCTAGGCCACCACACCCAGAGCAGGGGGCCCCCCTCGGATCACCCCAGCAGGAGAATCTGAATAACATTTGCCCCTAAACCACAGGCCCCCTCCCACCTGCCAAAGTGGCTGCCACACCCTGCCTCTCCCTGACTGGGAAAAACCATCTGACCCATCTAACTGGCATCCGCATTCATCAGGGCACCCACATCTTAGGAGGAAGTAGCTGGCTCCCCGGGTAAATCCCTGCGCAGCCCAATACACCAGAGCAGCAGGTCTCTTGAACCCTGGTCTCAGAGCACAAGCTCAGGACTCCAGCCAGCTGGTTATCCACGGAAGCACCGGGGTTGGGGTGGGATAAGGGAGGTGGCCTGGAATCATCCAGTGGTGTGGATGCTTCCCCCAAAAGCCAGGGGCACAGGGGAAAAGTCTAGCCCTTACCTGACCCGCACATCCTAGATCAAAGTTCACCTCCTGCATGAATCCTACCCTGATCACCCCAGTGCCCGCCAAGCTCTCCTCAACTACACAGGAAAGTGTTTGATTCTGCTTTCACCATTGGGGCAGGTTATTTATGCTTTCTCTTGTGCAAAGGCAGGAGGGGGCGTCTTTCTGCAGTTACTTGGGCTTAGCACTGAGCTGTGCTTGCGGTAGGTACTCAGTAAATGCTCTAACTGAATAAATGGAGAGTACATTCATTCATTCAAAAATAATTCATGAGCAACTGCCATGAGCTAGGCTGTCTTCTAGGTGCTCTCACCCTCAGTGGGCTGCCATTCGAGCGTGAGGAGATGACCACCCTTTAAACCAAAGTCCAGGAGTGGCAAGGGTGCATGGGAAAGGCCACTCTCACACCCAGCTCCTGGGGTACATGCTTTGTTTAGTAGAATCTTTTTCTGGAGAAATCTAGCTATATGTATCAAAACATTTCTGCCTCTAGGAGCTCAGTGAAACGTGCAAAGATTTATGTATCTGGATGTCCACGACAGCATTGTTTACAATACCAAAAAAATTAAGAACAACTTAATTCTCTAACACTAGGGGACTGGCTGGATAAAGCATGGTATATCCTGCCATTGAAACTGATGTTGAAGAAGAAGAATATAGGAAGATGTTTATAAAATATTAAGTGAATAGGCAGGTTATAAATTACTATATCACTATTATAGTATGAAACTACGTGTGTGTACGTGTGTATGTGTATATGTGTACATACCTGTGGGTGTACATTTATTTGTTGTGCCATTGAGTCAGCTCTGACTCATAGAGACCTTAGTATAATAAAACGAAACACTGCCCAGTCCTGCGCCATCCTCACAATCATTGCTATGAGCCCATTGCTGCAGCCACTGTGTCAATCCATCTCATTGAGGGCTTCCCTCTTTTTTGCTGACCGTCTACTTTACCATCCCTGGTGGCGCACTGGTTAAGAGCCTGGCTGCTAACCAAAAGGGCAGCAGTTTGAATCTACCAGCCACTCCTTGGAAACCCTATGGGGCAGTTCTACTCTGTCCTATACGGTCACTATGAGTTAGAATTGACTTGATGGCAAAGGGTTTGGCTACTTTATGATGCCTTTCTCCAGCAGTTTGTCCCTCCTGATGACATGTCCCAAGTAAGCAAGACAAAGTCTCACCATCCTCACTTCTAAGGAGCATTCTGGTTGTACCAAGACAAATTTGTTCATTCTTCTGGCAGTCCATGATATATTCAATACTCTTCGCCAACACCACAATTCAAATGCATCAATTCTTCTTAGGTCTTCCTTTTTCATTGACTAGCTTTTGCAGATGTATGAGACAATTGAAAATATCATGGTATGGCTTGGGTCAGGGGGCTATATCTTTATCTATATATCTATATGACTAGAAATATATACACCAAAATATTAAAGTTATCTCTGGGTGGTGGGATTACAGGTGATTTTAATTTTTTTTCTGTGCTTTTCTGCATTTTCCAAAACCTGTACAATATACCTATGTATGTTACTTGTCTTTTTCTTAGAAAACTAAGAAAATCAAAGTTATTCTGACAAGATACAAAATATAGATTTAACTTAAATTATATGATTAACTCATGTCAAGATCACACGTATTAACCAATAGATCATTCCTGACCATAGATGGACGTACTTGTGAAAAACCAACTGTTCTTATATTCTTTTATACATAGTTTCATTTTTTCTTAATAAGCTTTTTATTCTGGCTAATTTTAGGTTTACAGAAAAGTTGCAAAGATGGGACAGAGAGTTCCTGGAATACCCCTCACCTAGCTTCCCCTGCTGTTAACATGTTACATAACCATGGTACATTTATCAAAATTAGGAAACCAATATTTTACTACTAACTAAAGCTTCAGACTTTGTTGGGATTTCACCAGTTCTTCCATCCACCTCCTCTTTCTGTTCCAGGGTCCAATCCAGGGTACCACATAGCATTTAGCTGTCATCTCTTTAGTCACCTTTGGTCTGTGACAATTTCTCAGTCTGTCCATGTTTTTCATGTCCCCTGTATTAATTTTGTAATCAGAAAAAAAAAAAGACTGATTTTTTTTTAAAGAGGTATTCCTTCCTCCTTGTTCCGGTGGCATGCACATGGTCCCACTTCTGCTTTTCCGTTCACCAAGACAAAAGGGGGAAAGGCAGATATGGACGGGATTCACAGAGGATGGGGCGCCCTGAGCCCCACTGCCCGCTGTCCTCTCCTCCCTCAACGCAGTGAGCTCCGGGGCCCTTGGCTCCCGCTGGGCGTCTGATGGGGGCGAGCCCAGCCACTGCCTCAGCATCAACTGTTCCGCAAGCCGCTGCTGGCCGCCCCGCCTCCCTACCGCGTTTTATAAGCCTCGCTGGCGCTGCCTTGGAGCGTCCGAACCGCCCGCTGCCCGTCCGGCCAGGCGCCCCCTGCAGAATGACCTGGAACACCAACCTCCGATGGCGACTGCCGCTCATCTGCTTGCTCCTGGAGGTGGTCATGGTGGTCCTCTTCGGCGTGTTTGTACGCTACGACTATGAGGCCGACGCCCACTGGCCCGAGGAGAGGAGGCACAGGAACATCGTCAGCGACTCAGAGAACGACTTCTACTATCGCTACCCGAGTGAGTCCCGCCCTCCCTGGCAGGTCCAATTGAGGCATCTCCATGCCATCCCCACCTCTGCCTTAGCACCTGGCTGAGGGCACTGCCTGGCAGCACCTCCCCAGCCAGCTGCTCTGGAACTGCGGGCAGGGAGGCCAGGGAGGAAACGCTGCCCCACGGCGCCCTGCCCCAGCCCCACTCCAGGCCCTTCATTCCCACAGTCACCAACCTCAAGGGTTCATGCTTGAGAAATGGTGGAATGTGCACAGCGTAATAGGGAAAACTCACTGGGTGAGCTTGTTTGAATGCCTCCCTGCCATGTGAGGCCACCATCATTCCTGTCAGGGGGCCCTGCTCCTCACCTGACTGGGTATCCTCAAGAGACCCAAGTTCTGCCTCCATCACCAACCAGCTGAGTGACCCCAGCTCCCTTGTCCAGTGGTGCCATACTCTGCAAATACGGGGCAGGTACAATGTCAAGGGCTGCAGGGATAGCTGTTGGCCTGCCTGCCTTCCTACGGGAGCCGTGTGTGTGGAGCCAGGGGTGGGCCAGGAGGCCATGGCACCTAACCTCTTTTGGCTTGGAGAGGGAGAATAAGCACCCCAGATTTTGTGGGTGGGACGGGGTCTCCTGAGTTCTCTGGTATTGGTGGTGCTGTGGTTAAGAGTGTGGGCCCTGGGATTAACCTGCAAACCAGGTGGGTGGCCTTAGGCAAATGTGTTAACCTCACTGAACCTCAACTTCGTTATCTGTGGAGTGGGGATTACATAGGACCTGCCTCACAGGGATGGAGTGAGGCTGGCATGAGCTAATGCATGGAAAGCCCTGGCACAGTAATGCAGCAAAATTACTAGAAGTGCACCAAGCTCAGACACCCTAGGACTGAAGAGCTGGAATAATTGGCCCAAGGTCACCCCGGTCAACCCAGCCTCCAGACTCCCAGCCCAGGGCTTTTTCCTTGCAGTTGTGCTTTCTGATTTTCCACTCCATTTTCAGCGGCCCATGGAGATTCTCCTAAGTGTTAGTGTTCACAGAGTTACGGACTCTCAGTTTTGGAAGGGTCCTTACAGCTCATTTCCAACAGCCACCTATACCAACTGGTGTTTCAGACATAGCTTATACACTCTCAGTCATGGGAGAATCTCTACCTCCAGAAATAACTTTTTATTTAGGTCCAAGTAAACAACTTTACATTTAGCATGGCGGCCAGCCTGAAAAAAGATAGAGCTCAGGGGGCTGCAGACCCAGTGGGAGGCAGACATATTAACTGGCTGCCAAAAAGCTAATGCCATCACAGGCTACATTAATAGAAATATGGTACCTAGAAGAAGAGAAGTGACAGAAGAGAGGTCTGTCCTGTGTGAACGAGACATAGCCTGTGCTGGGCTCCACTTGGAGCCCGTGTTTTAAAAGAGATGTTGACAGCTGTGGCCTCAGAATTGGGATCCAAATCCTCCCTTCACACTGTCTACCTTTACTCTTCTGGCCCTGACATAGGACAAACGGTGAAGCAGGCAAGCTTGGGACCTTCCTTTGCCTGTTCTATCCCTCCCCTCTGGCTCTTGTTTCTCTCTCTCCTTGGAGCTAGCCCCCCAGAAAAGCGTGAGGGGCAAGGCCTCCTGTAGGCAGTCATAGGTCCTTGGTGTGTGTGGGCAGTGGAGGGCCTCGAGCCCCTATAGTAGGAACTACAGAACTCACCAGTGGGGGATACAGCCCTCGCTCTCCCCAGCTCCTATCCCCACCCGTTCTTTCCTTCATGCTCCACCCTCATTCACTCAACAAGCTCTCATCTCTATGGTGACCATACAAGTTATCTTCCAAAAACACTTTTGAGAGTGAAAGGAGGTGCTGTTAGTAATTTGCTGGGACACAGGTGTAAACCTAGATTGTCCCAGCAAACCAGGGCTTATGGTCATTCTGAACAAAGTTGAATATCCTGGGTCTCTGGCCCCAAAGGGCTCCCAGACTTGGTGAGTGCAGAGAGGTGCACCCCGACACCCAGGGTCTCAGCAGGATCAAGTGTTCTAGGCAGAGGTTGCTTCCAACAGAGGAGGGCAGGGCAGCCGGGGGCCGCTGAAAGGGAGTACTAGGGGTGGGGGTGACTGGCTCAGTGTGGCCCAAGAGTAGAGTTTGTGAAAGGGACGGGAGGGAGGCCCTAAGAAGGGAAAGACAGTCCCAGCAACCAAGGAGGGCCTTTCGTTTCTCCTGCCACTTCTTCTGTGAGCTCTTAGCCATCTGAGTAGGCAGTGACAGACGGGGACAAGTGTAGGGAGAGAACCTTGGTGAGGGTGGGAAGTGGCGGCAGCTACAGAGTGTTCACTATCTGCTGGGCCTGCCCCTTGAGCCAAACACGCATTCTCTCCATTCATCCTTTCCACACCCTTATGAGGAAGGCACTGTTATGACTCCCATTTTACAGATGAGGAAACTGAGGCCAGAAAGGGGAAGTGTCTTTCAAAGGTTGCTTGGTCAGGAAACCAGGAGCCCAGGGTAGGAGCCCTGGGCGTCTGAGCCCACACACCTGGACCATTCTCCACCCTCTAGTTCCCCTCTTCCCCTTTCCCCCGCCCCACCCTTTTCAGGCCCATTGGGTCAGAATGGGTTAGGTGGCTGTGGTAGGAGTTGGAGGGTGAATGACCTCATTGCCCAGATGGGTCCCTGAACCACAGTTTTGGGGCAGTGAAGTGACTCATGGGGTGTTGGGTGAGGTCCTTGTGGCACCTTCCTGGTTCTTGGCTCATGGCTATCTGCACCTATGCAGACTTCATTCCTACCCACGGGTTTAGTGGAGCCCACTGGGTATCTCTGGTTTCCAGAGGAGTCCAGCTCCAGCTGGCTGGGGCCAGGACTCAGGCTGAGGCCAGGGAGGGCTCAAAGCACAGCTCGCCAGGCTTGGGCCCCCAGGCAGGCAGCAGGCACAGAGCCAACCGGGCACCCACCCTGGCTGTGGCTGGAGGAGGAGCCAGCAGGGCTTGGGCTCTAGAAGCCTCCTGGGAGGACCGAGGGTGGAGCAGGACACATTTCCAGGAGACGACCCAAGGCAGAGGATGTCCAGCTTTCAAACACCAGCCAGACTATTCCATGAGGCTGAGGCATCAGGGCTCTGAGCCCCCAGGGACCTGCACCTCAGATCCAGCTCCATTTAATAAAGGATGAGCTTTCAACAAGCAGAGGGCAGTGTGACCTGGTGGTTGACTTTAGAATTAAACAGATCTGGATCCATCACTGGGGCCCCCCAGGTGGCACAAATAGTTTACTCTCAGCTATTAACCTAAAGGTTGGTGGTTCAGACTCACCTAGTGGCATTGTGAAAGAAAATCCTGGCAATCTACTTCCATAAAGATTACAGCCAAGAAAACCCTATGGCGCAGTTCTACTCTGCAATGCCGGGGCTGCCATGAGTCCAAATCAACTTGATGGGAACGAGTTTGGTTTTTGGTTTGGATCCGTCACTAAAAGGAGTGAGCCAGCTACCTAACCACTGTGAGCCTCAGTATGCTAATCTGTAAAGTGGGAATGTTATTTAACATGCAGGATCTCTGGGAAGACTCAAGATGACAAGTGACTGGGAGGGCACTTATCTCATGGCATAAAGTGAGAGCTTCCTCAAAAGGGAGTGAATGGTCTGTCACTGAAGGTATGTAAGCGGAGGTTCAGTGTCCTGTTAGAGATGTGGCTCAGAGAATGTCCCCATGAGTATTAGTTTGAACTATTATAGCATTTAAATTCGTTGGGTCTCTCCCCAGTTACAAAGTGCTTTCTGCATGCTCGGCCAGGCAGGGTATTTATTATTTCCATCTCATGGTATAGGAAATGGTTGTAGAGAGATGAGCTCAGCACTCTCTGCTGGCTGATGGCGCAGGCAGGGATCAGCCAAGCCCTCCTACCCGACCTGCTTTCCCTGGGACACTGCAGCATTGCCACCTCCTAACAATCTCCCCAGGAGATTTTGCTGTGATGCTGTGGTTCAGTGGTTGGGTCTGAGGTGTGGGAGAGGCGTGGCATGGAGTCTTGGGGGGAACCAGAACACTATGTCTCAAATCAATTTAGACTAGGCTTGACTGGCCCATTGGTGGTAATGGTTAACACACTTGGCTGCTAACTGAAAGGTTGGAGATTTGCGTCTATCCAGAGGCACATCAGAAGAAAGTCCTGGCGATACACTTGAAAAATCAGCCATTGAAAACCGTATGGAGCACAGTTCTACTCTCACACACGGGGGGTCACCATGAGCTGGAGTGGACCCGACGGCAACTGGTGCTGGTAGTAGTGAGCTGGCGCATATTGAGTGGGAGCCTCAGTACCCAGCTCCCTGCAGGGCACCACCCTTTTTGTGCTGATGCAACAGAAAGGAGGGTGCTGCAGCAGTTCATCAGTTTGGCAAACGTTGTCCTCCAATTCAGAAGATTCAGCTAGCTTCAGGGGGCCCCACTAGGGGAGGGAAGAGGGCGCTGGTATGTGGATTGGGAACTGGGGCTAGAGAAGGGAGAGTGAGAACAGCTGTACACTGGCACCCCCTGGTGGCAGCTTGCTTGGCAGCACACCCGGAAACCAATGAGTCCGCCCTCCCCATCAGGGACCTCCAGGTTGAGGGAGCAGGTTCTGGTCAGAGCTGCTTGAGTCACCCCAGGGAGTGGGCGGGATGGGAGGGAATCTCACCAACATCCACCAACCCTCAGAAAATCACCAACCCAATGCAAAACACCCTGTCAGTCTTGAAAGAGGAAAAGAGAAATAGTGACTGGAGTGCTAGTCATAGCTAAATGATTGAGCAGTTACTAAAGAGCAGGGCTCCATGCCCAGGGATGTGCTTGGATTATCTCTCAAATGTGTACTGCAAACCTCTGGGCTGAGCGCTCTCTGAGCACTGTTCCTATCCCCCCTTTTACTGATGAAGAAACTGCAGATCAGAGAGGTTATGCCCCTTGCTGAAAGTCACACAGTTTGGACCTTCAAATCATCATCATTAAAATCATCTTAGGTAGCACCAAACTTTATCAAACATAAATTCACAAGCTGA